TTTGAAACTGAGATTCACTCTTGTTGCCCAGGCTAGAGTGCCTGTGATCTCAGCCCACTGCAACCTCTGCTTCCCAGGTTCAAGCAATTCTCATGTCTCAGCCTCCCTAGTAGCTGGGATTACAGGTGCCCACCTCCACGCCCAACTAATTTTTTGTATTTTTAGTAGAGACGGGGTTTCACCATGTTGGCCAGACTGGTCTCGAACTTCTGACCTCAGGTGATCCATCCATCTTGGCCTCCCAAAGTGCTGGGATTACAAACATGAGCCACCATGCCGAACCCTATTTCATAGTTTTTGACGCTAATGCAAATGGCATTGAAAAATGCTTTATATTTCCCAGCTGGGCACAGTGGCTCATGCCTGTGATCCTAGCACTTTGGGAGGCTGAGGCAGACGGATCACAAGGTCAGGAGATCAAGACCATCCTGACCAATATGGTAAAACCCTGTCTCTACTAAAAAATACAAAAATTAGCTGGGCGTGGTGGCTCACGTAGTCCCAGCTACTCGGGATGCTGAGGCAGGAGAATTGCTTCAACCTGGGAGGTGGAGGCTGCCATGAACTGAGATTGTGTCATTGCACTCCAGCCTGGGTGACAGAGCAAGACTCCGTCTCAAAAAATATACGTATATATGTATATTTCCCATTGTTTGTTGTCAGTATATATTAGATTTTTGTAAGTTGATCTTTTATTTTACAATCTTGCTAAATTGCTAGACTTTTTGTTTGCTAAACTTGCTAAACTTTTTTTTTCTTTTTGTAGATCCCTAGGCCTCTAATTTTCTTTATGGGAAAGTTTTAAATACAAATTTAATTCCTTTAGTAGCTACATGGCTATTCAAGTTACTTATTAATTCTTGTAATATGTGTCTTTCAAGAAATTTATCCATTTTATTCAGGTTGTAGAATTTCTTTGGCATCAATTTGTACATAACAGTCCCTTATTATCCTTTCAATGTCTTTAGAATGTCTCATTACTTTATTTATTTAGTAGGGACAGTCTCACTTTGTTGCCCAGGCAACAAAGGTTTTGAATGACTGGCCTTAAGCAATTCTCCTGCCTTGGCCTCCCAAAGTGCTGGGATTACAGGCATGAGCCACTGCACCTGGCCAAATGAAGGTGGTGATAGTATCTCCTTTATAAGGATGCTGTAAGAATAAAATAATGTAATACAAACAAAGCCCCCATCACTGAAAAGGTATAGACTTCAAATGTTGAAGCTTTGGAGAACAGAATTTATGTGAAGTAGCAATAGCAACAATTTCCCAGAGGAAATCATCTCTCAGCTTTCTTCTGAGGAACAGTTTATAGATTGAAATTGTATCAGTGAGAAGATAACTATACTAACTTCATAAGCCCTTGGACCTTTTTGAAACAAATCCATATAAACTATGAACAAACTTGAAATAGAACAATTTGAGAACAGCATGCAAACTGCATTGGTGTATCAATTTCAATATTTTGTTTTAGCTTAAACAGACTAACTTGAGATATCATAGGAGAACCTTGACCCCCAAGCAACATCATCTCAAGAGTCGACTAGGCGGGGTGTGGTGGCTCATGCCTGTAATCTCAGCTCTTTCAGAGGCCAAGGTGGGCAAATCACTTGAGGTCAGGAGTTCGAGACCAGCCTGGCCAACATGGTGAAACCCCATCTCTACTAAAAACACAAAAATTAGCAGGCGTAGTTGCCTGCATCTGTAATCCCAGGCACTCAGGAGGCTGAAGCAGGAGAATCTCTTCAACCGGGGAGGCGGAGGTTGTAGTGAGCTGAGATAGTGCCACTGCACTCCAGCCTTAGTGACAGAGCAAGCCTCTGTCTCAGGGAAAAAAATAGTTGACTCAATTAGTGTCTTGTTACTAAGCACTGTAGGGAGTTTCATGGAACCCCTACCCTCTTGGGGCCCAAAGCAAGTCATATTAATATTGAAAATTTTTAAAATTGGCCAGGTGTGATGGCTCACGCCTGTAATCCCAGCACTTTGGGAGGCCGAGGCGTGCAGATCACTTGGGGTCAGGAATTCAAGACCAGCCTGGCCAACGTGGTGAAACCCCACCTCTACTAAAAGTACAAAAAAACCTTAGCTAGGTGTGGTGCAGGCGCCTGTAATCCCAGCTACTCAGGAGGCTGAGGCAGAATAATTGTTTGAACCAGGGAGGCAGAGGTTGCAGTGAGCTGAAATTGTACCATTGCACTCGAGCCTGGGCAACAAGAGCGAAACTCCATCTCAAAAAAAAAAAAAGAAAAGAAAAATTTAAAAATCACAGCAGACATGCATATGACCAAGGTGATAAACACAATTATTCTGCCTGAGTTGGAGAATAGTATCCCAGTAAAATAGACAAGAGTCACAAGGTCTTTTGTATCCTTTGAAGCTGTCATGGTGATTTGTAACTAGGCAACAGGTGTATATTGCCAATCTACTTTGCATTTATTTCCTTTTATAGAGAGACACAATTTTATGAGCAGATGCAATTACTAGCACAAAGGTTGATTTGTGAAGGTAGTTAAAAGGCCCACACAAACTCACTTCTTATCCTTGTCCTTCTCCCAGCAAATATCTGCCCTATTCCTTTGCTCATTCCCCCATCTTTCACCCACCTAGCCACAAAACAAGGAAGTAGACCCTGCATTACTCAATAATACCAAAGTAATTTTCAATATGACTCTCTTTTCAGAATATGTTATTTCTGCCTCTTAACATTCAATCATACTCTCTTCCTTTCTTCTTCTTTTTTTTTTTTTAAAGACAGAATATTGCTCTGTCACCCAGGCTAGAGTACAATGGCACAATCTTGGCTCACAGCAACCTCTGCCTCCCGGGTTCAAGCGATTCTCCTGCCTCAGGCGCCTGAGTAGCTGAGATTACAGGCATGTGCCATCATGCCCAGCTAAATTTTTTGTATTTTTAGTAAAAATGGGGTTTCACCACATTGGCCAGGCTGGTCTTGAACTCCTGACCTCGTGATCCACCCGCTTCCCCCTCCCAAAGTGCTGGGATTACAGGTGTGAGCCACTGTGTCCGGCCACTCTCTTCCTTTCATCTGCCTACTCAACTCTTAGGCATTCCCAGACATCAGCTGTCCTTTAGAAGCTTTCCTCTACTATCCTAGCCTATATGAATCCTCCTTCCAGTTATAGCCCTTAATTCTAGATGGCTGATATTTTTGAATAATTGTTTTAAGATGGCCATCTTAGCCTCTCAGCTAAACAATAAAATACTCAAAGACAGTAGGTATTTTTTAAGTACTTCAGTTTACCTTATTATAGAGTGCATAATAGATATTCAGTAAGTAGAAAAGGAGAGGTGGAGGGTTGGATGGAATGGATTCTGGTGGTGTCTCTAGGTGAGCTTTTAGCATCAAGATTAATCAGCAGTTTTAGCGATGAGCTCAGACATTCAGTTTTAGATCTTTACTTATGTAGGATAAGACAGTGAGAAGAATGGTATATATCAGTGCTTTCTTTATATCTGCATACAATTTGAACTGTGAATATTACAAAGGTGCACACATAGGTTCAGATAGATTGACTGATTTTAAATGACCAAAGATGAGCCGTGGTAAGCAACCTGGGTATCTTAGGCTACACTCCCTGGTGAGGGAATATTCCCAAAAACATCTTCAGAGGGATGAACCACATGAAACTCAGTAAAACATAAATCATGAAGACTGATCACTCTCTTCAGGACATGCAATGAGAATTTTGATGCATGATTACAATTACTAATGTACTCTGCTGCAGGATGTTAATAAAGTTACTGTTTTGCAGGCTAGAATGTCTCGATGCTGTAATCAGAACACATTTTTTTTCCCCTTTCTTCCAGCTTCAAATGCAGATTCATCACTGGGCTGACTTCTAATAATTGCAATGTTTTCTGCTTTGGGCTTGCAGCAGAAGCCTGACAAAATAGTGTATGTTTAGGCAATAATTTATTTATTTATTTTCAGTTTTTATTATTTATTTATTTAATTATTTTTGAGAAAGACTTTCACTCTTGTCGCCCAGGCTGGAGTGCAATGGCGTGATCTCAGCTCACTGCAACCTCCGTGCTTAGGCAATAATTTAGACTTTACCTTACTTGTCATTACTATAGCAACTACTATAGCTACAAGGCATAATTTTACTGTCCCATTTAAATTTTATGAATTTTAATATTTTGACACTTTTCCTAATACAGTCCACTGTGAAACCATGTCAAAAAAAAAAAGGAAAAAGAAAAGAAAGAAAGATGTACACATAAAGGAGAGGTGGTTGCAAAGAAAGAAAAGAAGAACGGAGGCAAATTCAGTGCAAACCAGATAACTCTCAGGGTATTGTAACTGATCCAAAAAAAAAGAACTCTTGTCAAATATTTTAAACTGAAAAATTTTCCATTTCTTTTTCTTTTCTGTACAGGTTCCTTCCTGAACGTTTCTTAGCGATTGTAAATCGTATGCAGAATATTCAATTTAAAGGAGTGATTGGCCACAAAGTCAAAATGAAATGAGTAAATAAGCTCCAGCCAGAGATGTATGGGTGATAATGATATGAACCTAAGTTTAGAATCAATGCTTCAAAGCTTTAGTTCACATTTTTTTTTCCAGTCCTGTTAATATTTAAAACATTGGTTTGGCACTAGCACCAGTCAAATGAGCCAGACTAATTACCTGTTTCTCTGTTTCTCAAGAATATTAACATACTTTTTAATAGTTAGGTCTGTTTTTCCTTTCATGCTTCTTAAAAACTTCTATGCTTACATAAACATACTTAAAAGCTTTTCTTTAAGATGTTTTATTTTATTTTTCCATTCAAAGGTGAAGAAAAGCTACCTCCCTAAAAGTAACTACAAAGATAACTTGTTTACACAGGGAAGGTTTAAGACTGTTCTCCAAGTAGCATTCCGAGCTGTAGCCACGCCACAGAATGTCAACAAGAACGCAGAGTGAGTGACAGATAAGAGATCAAGCTTCAGCAGGCAGCTTTATCTCAACCTGGGCAGTCAGCTTACTTCTTTAAAATTCAGCATTTGAAAGACTTCCCTAGTCTCTTCCTTTTTCATCAGCCCAAAACGATGCAACTCTCTTCTGGACTTTGTTACTGATTCTATCTTCTGTATAACTCGTAAGTCCACCAAAAGTTGACCCCTATATTTCCTCCATTTTTATAATCTTGTAAGATACATGACAAAAGGTGACCAACTCTATTTAAATCCCAGAATTTTAAGTTCTAACCCCATCATAACCTCTTTTTTTGTAGTTTATGCTCTCATATATCCTTGGTCCCAGAGATATTTAGACAATTTTAGGTTCAAAAATTAAAGCTAACACAGGAAAATGAACTGTACTAGATATTACATAACAAACAATGGATCCAAGAGAAGGAAGGGAAGAAAGATTTTTTTTTAATAGAAAGAATAATCCGACTCCCACTACATCAAGACTAATTTTGTTGTGTATGTTCTTCATATGTATTATAGAATGCTTTTGCATTGACTATCCTCTTTTTATGAAAAACAAATGATTTTTTAAAAGTCACTAACAAAAACAATTCACTAAAAATAAATGTCATTATGCTTTAGTTATAAAATAAAACTACATAAAACGTTTTGATTTGTAATCTCTGCCTCTGTGAGTGTCCTTCAAAAACCAAGGATGTGGATAGTAACAGCTAGATCTGGCAGATATTAAATCAATTGGAGGATTTTCTCAACTCTGGTTTCTTTGAAAGCAGGAGTGCTGGTTTATCAACTGAAACTTAGCCTTTTTTATGTGTGACATTGAGCACAATGCTATTGTTTTGAATTTTTTTTCTTAGTCACTGGCAATAATTTTTGTTCATAATATTCTTTTAATTTCTTGCCTTATAATTAAGAACTTTATGAGTAAAATGTATTATTTTTAAAGTATGGTTACAAAAATTCAAAAGAGAAACATGGAAAGTAAAACATAGAAGCCTATCCCCAGCAATCCCATTTCCCAGAGGCCATGCTGTCAATGCATAGTCTTCCAGTCTTTTTCTGATGCATATTCATGACGAATACATTATATTCTTACTTCATGTGTCACATTAGGTAGGTTCATACCGTATATTATATTCTGTAACTTGCTTAGCAACTTATCACAAACAGCTGTTTGTTTCAGTATAGAGAATTCAACTTTAGTTTTTTTTAATGAGTACACAGTACGAAAATGGTACCCTATTTGATAGAAACTTAGGATGTTTCCAATATTTCTTAGCTCATTGATTTAAATATTAATTTAACAAATACTAAGTGCCCTCAAAGTTCTAGGCCCAGGGAAACATCTATGAATAAGGCAAACTCCTTGTCTTAACAGAGCTCACATTCTAGTAGGTGGGACAAATAATAAACAGACTGCAAATATGAGAGAGAGCATTTAAAGTAGTAGAGTCAGGGAAGAGCACTCTGAGAAGGAGTATTTTGAGGAAGAACTATTACCATACACAGACAACTAAAAAATGTTATATACGTATTAACAAAAATAAAAACCTCTTAAATCCCAATGTTAAGTTCAAAGCAGAAAACTTATTTTAATTCCATTTTGGTTTTAGTCTTTTATGAATGAAGCTCAGAGAAACGTGAGAGCAAAATATTGATTTCTCTTTGCCCATTTTTCTTGGATATTTTGAGTGTAGATCTTCTCCTTAGAATTTTCACCTGTGGCCGGGCACGGAAGCTCACACCTATAATCTCTGCATTTTGGGAGACCGAGGCAGAGGGATCACCTGAGATCAGGTGTTCGAGACCAACACGGTAAAAGCCCGTCTCTACCAAATATACAAGAATTAGCCAGGCACGGTGGCACATGCCTGTAATCCCAGCTACTCTGGAGGCTGAGGCAAGAGACTCTCTTGAACCTGAGAGGCGGAAGTTGCAGTGAGCTGAGATCATGCCACTGCGCTACAGCCTGAGTGAAAGAGTGAGACTCTGTATCAAAAAAAGTTCCACCTGAGCTTCCAAATGTTTTTCTCTGACAATCTTCATCTAATAATTCTCCCTAAGGGCCCTCTCTTCCACCAAAATCCCAGTTCTAGGGCTACTGCTAGGGTGTACAGATCACCAGGCAAATATTTTTTGCAGGGCTTCTGTCTATGTATACACTT